GCTCCATCAATCTTGCATAATTCATTTCTGAAAAACCAGTACCAGATGGATGGCATTGCCCAGTTGTATTGCCACATTGGCATGTAGCCTGGCCCCATTAGACCACAGTTATATCCACTTCTGTGAGCTGACCTTGGAGAATCATTTCCCTAGGCAATTGTTTTCCAAAACAGGAAATCCCTTGGTCACTCTGAGTTTAGACTCTCTCTTTTCAAGTAAACTGCACATTTTTAAACATCTTTCTGCCACACTTGTTGCTCTTTTTCCAGTATAGACCTACATCAGAGTGGTGAATATTAACTATTCCACAGCCTGAATGCTGTTCTGTCTTGAAATTTTCTCTGCCACACAAATTAGTTCATTACTCTTGCACTCAGCCTCACTGAAGTACTCATGATAAAGGCGGAATGTAGTTAGATTCTTTGCCAGAATGTCACATAAATAGCCTCTACCCCAGTTCCTGATTGAGTCCTTGTCCTCCTCTGAAACCTCATACACTAGGCCTCCACTATGCACATATTTCTTAGCCTTTTGATTTTCAAAAATCCAATGAGAATTAAGCTCTGTTGACTGCCTTTAACAGTGTTTTTTAGCCCAAATACCAAACTAATTTCCTCCTGTAAACTAGCTTAAAAGGCCTAAAAACATATATCAAATTTATCACAGTAATAATTCCATTCTCCATAACAATTTCCTTTATTGAGTTACTTTCGTGGTTTCTGTCCTGACAAGAAGCAACTTAAGGGAAGAAAGTATTGTTTTGGCTTACAGTTCAAGGGAATACAGTCCACCATGGCCGGGGGCACATAGCAGGAGGAGTGGGAGGCTGCTGGTCACATTGTGTCACAGACAGGAAGCACAAGGTGAACAGGAAGTGGGACCAGGCTAAAAACCGTCAAGGTTCACCCCCAGTGACTCACTTCCTCCAATAAGATTCTACCTCCGAAAAGTTCAACAACCTTCCCAGAAAGCACTACCAGTTAAATACTAAGCATTGAAACACATGAACCCATGGGGGACATTTCACATTCAAACCACAACAGGGAATTATATCAATTTGGATTCAAAGAAACAGAGAAGAGACAGTATAAAAAAAAGAGGGCTTTGGGATACCAAATCTCTTTTGAAAAGAGGCGTATTGAAAAGGCTACTCAGCTACCAATAGGAGGCACATCTTATGGAAAAGAATGGACTTGGTGGGAAAGACCAAGAGAAAGGAGGAGTGGGAGATAGGAAATGCAATAACAGCAAAACCAGAGTTGTGTCCTCAGGGAGTATTCTATGCTGTTCTAATCAGGTGACCAGTAACGTGTACTGCAATGGAGATTTCTACTGAACCTGAAGCATCATATCTAGGAGTTTTATGTAAACCTAGACTTAACTTAGATGGCAAACACAAAGTTGATTTTCTTAGTTTATTTTATGTTGCTAGAACAGAATACTCAAGACTAGATAATTGGCAGGGAAATGTTTATTTTGGCTCACATTTCTAAGTCCAACGTTGAAGAACTGAACCTGGTGAGCATATTCTTGCTGATTGGGACTCTTCAGCATCCTAAGAAATTTTGCAAGGCATCATATGGATCACTTACAAGAGTCATAGCTAAATTGGTTTCTGTAAAAGATCCACTCTGGAAGTGGCATATTAACCCATTAACTCATGAATGTGTGAGTACTTTCAAACAACACTATGAGCACAGCAACTTTCATAAGTGAGATTTTTGGGGAATTGGAATTGAGTTGGTTTTGCCTGATGTGGACATGGACTCCTGGAACCAGAGTGCAGACTGTTACCTAAGGGCTTCCAACAGATCATGCCTTCTTGTGTTCTATACCCTTTTGCAATGTGATTGTTGGTCTTCCCATAAGCGACCATATCTATTCTTCTATTGAGCATGTAACTTCCTTCTAATATGAAAGGAGGCCTCTGAGTATCCAGCTGTGGGCCACAGGCAGGCTGAGAAAGGTTATAAAAGTGATATCGTTGAAAGCCTACACTTTAACCTTCAGATGCTTCTTGGTTTCCTCTTGGAGCATCGCTCTGATACCACCAGGCATGTCAAAACATTTGGAGTGAGGATTATGTAGAAACAATCACCGGTGTTATCCCAGCTAAACTAGCTACCAGTAAACTTGCCAATTGAGCTCACTTGGCTAAGTTCAAGCAATTCTGAACAACCACCCAATAAACCTACAGAAAATCATAAAAAATAAGTCACGCTGTTTTAAACCACTGGGTTTGGGTGTAGTTTGTTATGTAGTAAATAATTGGAGCAACAGACTATTTTTGTTACATTTCACATGTTATTTATGTGGACAAAACCTCTTATTCTCACAGATGCATTAGCTTATCTCATCAATAAAGATTATGAAATGTCATAAAATAAATATACCTTGAATTGATGAGTGTTATTTAATCTTTATTGAGGAACCATAAACCATGGGTTTATCCTGAGATCAGAATGAAACAATATTCATCCAAGAAACATTTTACTTTGATTTTTTTTGTCTAACTTGACACTACTGCAAATATAATCTTAATATATCTACTATCTTTTACAGTGTAAGAGTAACTACCAATAGCTTCAAATAACTTCTAAATTGAATGGAAAATCCATATGACTGAGTAAAGAAAAAAATATCTTGTATTGATCATGTTGAAGGGGGAAAATATTACTTTAGATGGACCATTCCCCAAGTAAAAACAAAACCATAGATGTAGACATAGCACAACAATAACACTACTATTCCTCTTACTTCTCTCTCCTGAGTGTTGAAATTATAAGCAGGCACCACTATATACACTTTATGTGATGTTGGGGATCAAATTCAGAGCCTTGTGCATGGTAAATAAGCACTCCACAAACTAAGCTATATTCCTAGCTCTGCACTTGACTTTTTTTATCCTGAAGCATTTTGTCTTGGAATATATGACACGTGTTTACTTAATAATTTTATTATTTTTATTTGGCAAATACAATGTGCTTGCTAATGTGCTGGACATTATATTAGATATTGGAGATATAAAAAAAATACATGGTTTCTGAACTCATCCATCAATTGAGAGTATAGAGTAGGAGGAGAATGTGAAGGCAAGCACACTATTTAAATGGAGTTTGATGGGTGGTATGGTAGAACATGAGATGTAGTAATCATCTTTGCATCACTACAAACAAATATCTGAGGCAATAAACTTACAGTGTTATATGAAACTGAGACACAGAACCTGCCACTCACAGAGAAGGCATCCATGAGTCTCATGTGGCAAAGTTGGGAAAGTTTATTCACACTGGTAGACTCAAGAAGAGTTTCTTCCTGAAAAACTGGAAGAAACTAAACTGTTTCTTCACCGTTTTTGTAGGTTTCCTCGCATCATTCTTTAATTGTTACAACATTGGGGGACTTTAAAATATAGCCTAAGTTATTACCAGCACAGATGCTTACGTTTCCTAAGACTACTGAGGGAAATTTCTTCTGCAGGCATTTTGCATAGATTTTAGGCAAGTGGTTAAGGCATTCTTTAACAATGGTATGTATTGCAGGCACCTTAGCAAGCAGGGTAGTTGCAAACAAATGTTCCACTAGGTACTGTGGTATTTGTTTCTTAAGATAGTTTTGAGGTCTTTGGTGTTCATTTAGTTTTGATTCTTCTTTCAGCACAAATTTGTAGTAAGCATTAATAAAACCATTATAAAGGTGAGTACCACATTCTAAAGTATAAAATCAGTCATAAAACTATAAAAACAATATCTGACACACACAAAAGTGACATTAAATGCATGAATATGTTTCTTTTCCTCTTCAACAGAGAGAATAGCTTGTTTAGCTTATTCTGGAGATTCAAATACAAGACAATGGCCTGGACTCTAATGAGGGCGGCAGAGGGCATTCTAGGCCATGTCTATTTTCCTGTAGCATTTTTTATTTAGCCCTATTCAAATTTTTTCTTGCTTTTTTTTTTTTAATGTAAAACATGAACAGAAAACAAGACAATATGTATGTTGGCCTTTTTTAAGTGTGCGTGTGTGTGTGTGTGTGTGTGTGTGTGTGTGTGTGTGTGTGCATCTGTGCGAGTACCCACAGAGGCCAGAAGAGGGCACTGGATTACCTAGAGCGCCAGTTACAGGTGGTTATGAACCACCTGATGTGGTTGTTGGGAGCAGAATTCTGTTCTTGTGCAAGAGCAGCATGTGCTCTTAACCATTTTTCCAGGCCCCTGAACTTTTGCTAAAAATCATTTGCCAATGAAAGATCATTTAAAAACATTATCTTAAGATTATTGCTTTAAATCGTCTTACATTATATACAAGCCTCATTATTGCATTTGTGTCTAGGGCAATATAGCACAAAACAAAACTAAAAAGGCAACCTATTTTGTAAATGAAACACACAAGTCAGCACATATGCTTCGAGTGCCAAACCCAAGTGTCAACACTCAAGTTGGTAAAAAAAAAAAAAAAAAAAAAAAAATCAAGGAAAAGAGGAAATTCTAGCAGTCATACCCAAGTCTTCTTCCTTTTAGGCACAGATGTTGAACAATTCTTAACAAAGGAAGATACCCTCAAGAAGGAATTGATAACCATAGAAATAGCTTTCTTTATGTAAGTGCTACAAAGTTCAACAGCAGAGTCATCTTCCTCTTCCCCGGGGGAGCCGAACTTGATATATTTGCTCTAATTTTCCTGTAATCAAGATTAAGCCCTTTCTCTCGATGCCTTTCAAAGCTGCTCTTTATCTACCTTCTCCTTACTTAAAAAGACTTGTCATCTCCTATGCCCATTTGCCCCTTCCCTTGGTTACTTGACCCCCTTCCCTTACCACCATTTCCTGATCAGTCCTAATGTGTTCCTTTTTTCTCAGACAGGCTGGGCGGCCCCTCCACCATGTCTTCCCTTCCTTCTCTCCAGGGCTTGTTCTTTCTTTTCCCCTCCCCTCCCCCAGCATGGCTCCCAGCTTGGTTCCCTTCCCCCTTCTCTCCGTCCTGCACCCTCCCCTCCCCCGCCTGCTGCCTTGTGACACATCCTGGGCCCTCCCGGAGGCGGCAGCAACAGCAGCAGAAGCAGCGGCAGTAGCTCTGGCCACCACCTCCTTCCTAGCCGCAACCCAGTTCCACCTGCCACTGGCCCGGCTGCTACTGCAGTCATGGCTGCTGATGGGGTGGACGAACGGTCGCCTCTGCTGTCAGCCTCCCATTCGGGAAATGTCACTCCCACCGCCCCGCCGTACTTGCAAGAAAGCAGCCCCAGAGGTAAGGACAGTGCAGAGCTTTCTCCTTCTGGTAATGCCTGTTAGGATAAACGCCGGGGAGCTCTAGCGTGGAGGCGGAGGCAGCCTCTCACTTGGGCTGGGGGAGAAAGATGCTGAGTGTTGGCTGCCCAACCAGTGCTGACTGCCTGAGAGCTTCACTGTGGGGCTTTGGAACTGCTAATGCTGCTGCTAGCGGTGGTGGAGAGTGTGAGCTTCACCACTTCTTCCTTAGGGGTACAGGATGTGACAGGAATTTCCCAAGCTTCGTGTTGCTGTTTTCAAAGCAGCCCCTAAGTGTAGCTGGGCCGTGGTGCAGGTCCTCCACAGTCATTCATAAGTGCTTTCCGTGGCGGCGGAACCGTAGTTCAGCTCACCTTGGCATCTGTCCTTGAGAGGATTTCAGCCTGAAACATAGGCATTGCTTACACTCAACCCCCAGGGCCCTGTGCAATCAGGGAAGTGCCTGACCAGAGGGACAGAGTTAATCAATATCCCTAATTTGTCTGAAATCCCTGCCCTTTGGTACTGCTCCTGTAAGGAATATGTGTTGTAGCTTTAACTGTGAATGAAGATGAATTTTCTGGTAAAAGGGAAGGTGGGATATTTTATTCATATCTGGGCGAGGCTGAAATGAACTTCTAAAAAGTAACCCAAGTTAATACTATACATATGTTATTGTTTTTCTTCTCAATATGGAATAAAGAATGTGGCTGAATGGTGAGGTGAATAAAAGGGCATCTATTTACCAAAGGATTCAATTTATTTAAAGATCTTTGTTCTAAGCCTTTTGGATGGTTGCTAGAGTTGAAATAAGGTAGAGTAGGAAGTTAGAGGAAACGGAAGGCAAGGCTTGCAAAGATCATCAAGTACTGCACTTGCAAGTGTGGCTTGCTTGCATCTAGCTCTTTGGCTGAATGTGAATGAAATTTGGAAAACTCAGGGAAGCAAAAGTGAAAATGTGAGCAGATGATGTCTTGTAACAACTTTTCGTAAGTTCAAGCCTGACCTTGGAGAAACGATAGAGCAGGTTGAAATTGTCTGTTGTTTAATATTTCCATTTAACCTTTTATAAGTTGAAAATCAACTATTTGAGTCTTGGTCCACCCCTAAACAGAAGTAGGACAAAGGAAAACTATGTTTAGTTGGAAACAACTCAGTGTGATTGACAGCTGGAGAGGTAAGGGCAAAGTCCAACAGAAACCCACCAACAAAAAAACCCACAAGTCAAGTTTGTTGGTCAACAACTTATATCAGAGGATGCCACGTAGGAGGATTTCCTTCCAGCTTGATATTAATATTGTACTGTAACCCAATTTTTATTCATGAATTCCTTAATGAGTGTTTCAGCTTCATCAAGTTAGTCTTTTAAGACAAAATATGGGACAGTTTCTTAAGAGACTTAGTTGGACTTAAGTAACTAACCTAGAATTTGTTTTTGAGCTTTGTCTCAGAGTTGTGTTTTTTTGCTTTTAGTCAACTGGTGACTAACATTAAAAATGTGCTTGACATTCGTGTAAATGGACCTACAAAGACATTACTTTTCATAGATTTCTTTAACTTGATTAGATTCCTCTAACTACAGAGTGAGTGACACTTCTGGAACAGTAAGTGGAAAGAAGTAATTTCATTCTAAAGAACTTTGTTTTTTATTTATTTAGTTTTATTTTATGTATATGAATGTCTTGCCCTGCATGTAGGTAAGCGTACCATGTGTATACAATGCCCATGGAGGTCAGAAGAGGACGTTGGATCCCCTGGAACTGGAGTTACAGATGGTTGTTGACTGCCATGCAGATGCTGGGAACCAAACCCTGGTCCTCTGCAAGAGCATCCAGAGCTCTTAATGGCTGAGCCATCTCTCTAGTTCCCTCATCTTAAAGAATTGAACAATCAGAGAAACAGTGACTATGCAGAAAAGCTCATTCTGCTTTATAACAAAAACATTTTCTTTACTGATGAAGGAGATGGGTTAGATATTTAGAGATACTACTTTCATATTGAGATGATACCTATGAAGCAGGAAACATAAATGAGAAATAACGCCATTTTATTTATATCTTGACAGGATATCTTTTCCTGATTAATAACAACTAAGCATTTGAACAAATGCACTATTACCCAAGTTCTAGCCCTTGAGCACCAGTAGCATTCATTCATTCATTAATTCAGTAACTTATAGGGTATCACAATGTTTCAAGTACTACTCTGAATGAGTGAGATTGACCAAATCTTACCTTCATGGAGTTCATGTAGTAAGGAGAAAGAATTTGCAAACTCTTGACCTAATTTGTTCAGATTATCAGAAAATTTGTCACTCAACCAGACATTATTAATAGTTGAAAATAGTAAGATTCTTAGTTGGAATTCAAAGATTAGACATGGAACGTACATTTTGATAATGAACTTTAGTTTATGATGGCATTTATAGTTATTCAGACTTTGGATGTGTGGGGAGGAGTATATGTGTTTCTGTGCATGTGAGTGCACATATACATGTATGCACATGTGTTGGAGGTCACAGGTCAATGTCATGTGTCTCCCTCTATCATTGTTCACTTTATTTTTTGAGACCAGTTCTCTCTCTTGATGTGGAGCTCCTTAGTTTGGCAAGACTAGTTGACCAACAAACCTGGAGTATCCTGTCTCTGTCTTTCCAGCACTGGGTTTATGGGTACTTACTACCAAAGCCAGAGTTTTTACTTGGGTTATAGGGATACAAACTCAGGTCCTCATGGTTTCATGAGGACCTTACTAACTTTATTATCCCCCCATCCTGATTACTCAGAATTTCAGTAGATTAAAACCAAAACAAAACAACAACAATAAAACTAAGAGGTTTACCAACCAAAGATTTTTCTTCAGTCCATTGCTTTGGGTCATCTTTTCTTTTTTAAATGAAGATTTTTTTAAATTTTATGTGTATATGGGTATGCCTGAGTGTATGTATATGCATCACATGTGTGCCGGGAAAAAGAAGGTGTCGGACCCCTTGTCACTGGAATCAGGGGTGGTTGTGAGCCATCCAGTTGGAGATACTGGAAGTCAAATCTGGGTCCTCTGCAAGAGCAGTTTGTACTCTTAACTACTGGGCCATCTCTAGAGCCCCTTTCTGTGTCATCTTGTAAGGAACATAAATTTTAGTTCCAACCACCTTAAAAGAAATTGTCCATTTGGGGTTGAGAGTTATGGTGTGTTTATTTCTAGTAAGTTATTGATAATATAGTGAAGAGCATTTAGCATTGTGCATTAGGTTTTGTCCAAGAATAACATGTGGTCCTTGTACCTTCTCACCTGGTATTCTGAGTGCAATGCTAGTGGTCTCCATTGTCAATGCTGGATGGTCTCAAAGTAGGAAGTCATCACCTCTATTTTCACTGCATTGCTCCATGGTATAATTGCTAGCTTTTCTTTAGGCATACAATTAAAAGCAATGACGGCTTTAGGCTCATTTGAAAGGAAAGTAGTAAAAACCACCACAAATGAGTGTATTTTGGATAAATTAATTCCCTTATAAATCTACTAAAATTTAGGGAGGATATGGCAGAGTGATATGACCTTTATGTTTCTAAAATCTCTTCTGTGAAAATGTTTTGTGTTCAGGGTTGTCTGATTGTCATGTACAGTACTGATAATAGAGATATGATTATATACTTCAGTACAATTCAGAAAGGGAGAAGATAGTTTGCTACACAGACAGTTAAGTCTGCTAGGTTTATTTCATTCATTTATTTGGAAATAAGGACTGGAATCAAGCTCTGTAGTCAGAAGCAATAAACAAGTTGGGCTCATTTTCTCTTACAGTATAATGGAGGATAAATTGTACAGAGAAAAATAAAATGCAAAGAGGATGAGGACCACATTGAAACGACTAGTCTCTTGACCATGTATATTGTGATTTAGCCTGGTTAAGGGAGTGGCAACGCTTTCCTGAATCTTCCTTGAGTTCTAAAAGTTGAACATTAGTTACCTAGACAGAAAGTGTACTGGATAAACATTCTAGGCAAAGAAACTAGTGTAGAAAAACCTTTAGTGGAGTGGAATGGGGAATGTACATGGAGGAAAAGGGAGTCCAATGTGGCTAAGGTGGAAATAGGCATACAGGCATAGGGCATGTGCTATAAAAGGAGTTTAGAGAGGTAGGTGATGTGGGTATTTTCCATAGACTCTCTTTCTGCTCCAAAGAATATTGTTTTCAGACACTGAAACCCATCTTTTGTACAGTCTCTCCCATTTGATCTGGAATGACCTTGTGACATGATTGTGAGCTCTAGAATGAGGTAGGAAATGTGCTGAATGAGTTTGAAGGCTAAATCAGAAGAGGTTAAGAGGCTGTGCAGTTTTTGCTTTGGACTTATGTGAAGTATGTTATGGGAAAATTAACTTGAAAGAATTGGGCTATCTGGAGACAATCATGTTTAAAGGAACCTCAAACCAACCATGTAGACATGCTACATGGAAAAAAGGCATCTGACTGAACTTCAGACATGTGAATGAAGATGCCATCTTAGGTACTCAGCTCAGTTGGGCTTTCAGATGACACCAGCCCCAACTAGATTCTTACTGCAACTACATAAAAGCCTGTAGATGACAAACTACTCAGCTGATGCTCAAGAGCTCACAGAATTGTCTGGACACTAACATTAAATTGTTGTTTAGGTCACTAAGATTTTGAGTGATTTATTCTGCTGCACCAAATGACCCTACAACGAAAACGAGTTGATTCGTGGTATTATGGGCCATGTGAAGAAATTTTGCTTAAGCAAGAGAATGGTGTCAGATCTTTATTTTAAACCACTCTGTAGGATAATGGATGAATTACAGAACTGGTGAGTTAGAGTTGATGAGAATAACTTACTTGATGAACTGCTATAAGGATTCAGGCATATTTAATGAATTATGTTGGTAGCTTGGACTCAGGTGGCAGTGAGATGACAAGCTGAGGGACTAGGTTTATGAGGTAGATTGAAGCCAAATACTGTGGTGCATTTCTGCAATCCCAGC